GTCTTTAGAACTTCAAGTCTTCAGAGTCTTTAGAACTTCGTCTATCAGAATCTTCAGCACTTGGTCTTTAGAACCCTTTGTCTTCAAAAACATTAGTCTTCAACATCTGGACTTAAGTAGAAACTTTTGTCTTCAGATCTTCTGACTGGTTTCTTTAGACTTCATATCAGAGCCTACACTTCATAATCTTCTGGAGTGTCTTGCTACTGTTCATCAGAACTTGTGTAGCACATAGGCAGAATTAATTCTCTTCTAATGTCTTGGCCACACCATCCACCAGAAGCAGAACCTGTTTGTTAAATACTAAAAAATAACAAACATTAGAGTATCAAAATTATTCATACAAACATACTCATTTGTTATCATTAAAACTCATAGATAATATTGTAGAACCAAATCTTGTTCTTACAGATAAATCAAACATGCTACGGTTAGTAGTGGTAATTTTTTTTCAACTTTCAAACAAATAACAAGGAGAATATGGGATTATACAGTAAAACCCAACAATGTCTTCAAAACATTCATGTTTCAAATAACAAAATGAACTGTATATGATGGTAATATAAGAACGAGGAAAATTCGGAGATACATCTCCATTTTTTAAGGTTAATTCAGGGATGTATCTTTAAACTAAATTTTAGTAAAAAATAGAATTTGATGTATTCAGAGATGTATCTCCGAATAAACTCAAAGGTATTTTTGGATTTTCAAAGGTGCGCCCCATTGTATAAGGTGTAAAGATAAATTATCTTTTAAAATTATATAAGGACTAAAATTATTTGTAGAAAAAACAATGTGGGACTTCAATGGTCTCCTTTGTTTTTCATCTTGTCTCTTCCATAGCCGATAATAGGAAGAATGAAGCAGGACATAAGTTGCTCGTGTCCAAACCTGGCCAATGATATTTTTAGCATGTGTATTGCTATTCTCCACCTTACATCATCAACCACAACATGGAGATTGAGTGGTATTATCTCTAACATGATCCATACGAGAGGCGCCAATACCATGCCTCAGTTCACTTTCTCTGTAGATTGGTTATATCATCTATGGGATCTGAAATTGAATAAAAAAGAAAGACAACTTCTCAAAAAATAAATTGAAGGAAACTATTTTCAACAAAACCACCACAATAATACATAACTCCACCACCACATCTTCTATTTCTAATTCCTAAAAAAATAGTGACGTCGTCGATGGAAATCGCCTTCTCAATCCTGCTTATTTTTACGAAAAACCATTGTTTCTCCAATATGATCTATATCATAGATCTCCTTTCTTGAAGATTCAATCTCCTCTTCATATAGATCTATTATCAAACTCATCAAGCATGGTTACATCCAAAGGCACGTGCTAAAGAAATGAAGCAGCACAATGTGGGACTAAAATTATTTTTAGAAAAAACAATGTGGGACTTCAATGGTCTCCTTGGTTCTTCATCTTGTCTATTCCATAACCAATAATAGGAAGAATGAAGTAGGACATAAAACCGATTGTGTCCAAACCTGACCAATGATGCTTTCAGCATGTGTATTGCTATTCTCCACCTTGCATCACAAAGCACAACATGGAGATTGAGTAGTATTATCTCTAACATGATCTCTACGAGAGGCGCCAATGCCATGCCTCAGTTCACTTTCTCTGAAGATTGGTTATGACGTCTATGGGACCTGAAATTGAATAAAAAAGAAAGGCAACTTCTCAAAAAATAAATTGAAGGAAACTATTTTAAACAAACCCACCGCAATGAGACATAACTCCACCATCACATCTTCTATTTCTAGTTCCTAAAAAAATAGTGACATCATCTATGGAAATCGCCTTCTCAATCCTGCTTATGTTTATGAAAAACCATTGTTTCTCCATTAAGATCTAGATCACATATCTCCTTTCTTCAAGCTTCAATCTCCTCTTCATATAGATTTATTATCAAACTCATCAAACATGATGACATCCAAAGGCACACGCTAAAGAAATGAAGCAGGACAATGTGGGACAAATTTTTTTTGTAGAAAAAACAATGTGGGACTTTAATGGTCTCTTTGTTCTTCATCTTGTCTCTTTCATAGCCGATAATAGGAAGAATGAAGCAGGACATAAAACTGCTTTCGTCCAAACCTGACCAATGATGTTTTCAGCATGTGTATTGCTATTCTACACCTTGCATCATCAAGCACAACATGGAGATTGAGTAGTATTATCTCTAACATGATCCCTATGAGAGGCGCCAATACCATGCCTCCGACCACTTTATCTGAAGATTGATTATGTCGTCTATGGGACCTGGAATTGAATAAAAAATAAAGGCAACTTCTCAAAAAATAAATTGAAGGAAACTATTTTCAACAAACCCACCGCAATGAGACATAACTCCACCACCACATCTTCTATTTCTAGTTCCTAAAAAAACAGAGACGTCGTCTATGGAAATCTCCTTCTCAATCCTGCTTATTTTTACGAAAAACCATTGTTTCTCCACAAGATCTAGATCACAGACTCCTTTCTTGAAGCTTCAATCTCCTCTTCATATAGATCTATTATCAAACTCATCAAGTATGGTGACATCCAAAGGCACACGACTAAAGAAATGAAAGACGCCATTGAGAATAGCTCATAGGAGTGTTGCCTATGCCATAGGTGCACGACTAAAACAATCAAATTCCCCTGGAAAAAACACACAGATAAAGACGATGAACTACAAAGTTAAAAATAAAGGTTCACCCCCTTTTTTGTAGCTAGCCACTCTAGAACGTAAATAATAGGTTCATTCTACGTTGGCTTCAAACCAAGTCTAAGCTTAAAGAAATATGTTCATTAAAACTTTTAGCACGATCTCAAAGAACAAACTATTTTCTAAAAAAAAAAAACTCAGACTCAAAGCAAATTTATAATAGATAATAATAACAAACTTTATTGTTTTTTAAAAAATGACAAACTTGAAAAATTATTGTAAATTAACATATATATATATATATATATATATATATATATATATATAATATATATATATATATATATATATATATAGTATATATATATATATATATATATATATATATATATATATATATATATATATATATATATATATATATATATATATATATATATATATATATATATAAATATAAGAATAGAAAAAAAAAATCCTTAAAGAACAAGAAAGAATCATTGGGATTGATGAATTTCATAAGAATGTTTTAAATGCTTTAAAAAATATAACATATGCAAAACAAATTTTAAAAAATCAAACCCTAATTTTACTTGTTGCCATAGTTTAACAAAATGTTAATTTTGATCTTTTTATAATGTAAACTTTCTTAAATTATATAAAGAATTTGTTTTATCAATTTTTTACACAATAATTCTAGCTCTTGGTAACTATATCATAAAATTAAAATTTAATTATTTAGAGGTAGGTGAACTGATATGTGCTAGTTAGGAGTGTTCGTATCATAGAGCAATTTTGAGATAAAAATTTGTATTAAATTCAAAAATAAATTTATTTATATTCAGTTCAATTTTAAATAATTGATTACAAAAATTTAAATTCATTCGATTTAATTTTATGATATTTAATTTAAATCAAATTTTAAATATTTAAATTATGAATTTATATATTTTTCATTAATATTATAACAATAAAATAATATACTCAAAATTAATATTATTAAATTAGAATGCTAAAACAAAATAATATAATGATATTAAATAGATTAAACTAATCTAATAAATATATTAAAAAATAATTATTAAGAAAATAATTAACACAATATATATTATATTGTATAAAATAAATTAATATTAAAATAAATAAATGTTATTCCGTTTGATTTTGAAACAATATTTATCTTTATATGTATTTTCTTATATTTTATTTATTCAAACAAATTGCTGAAACAATTTTAATTAAAAAATATGATATTATAAATTTAGAAAAAGAAAATTAAATTCCTTTTGAAAATAAATATTTTTAAATTTTTATTACCATAATTTAGGCCGTGTTTGTTTATCTTTAAAAAAAGGATTTTTCTTTGTATTTATTTTAAATATAACTTTTTTATATTTTGAGTTTTCTAAATTAAAAGATTAATTTTCACATCATATAATATAATCTATATTATTGAAAATATATTTAAAATTGTAATTTTTCAAAAATTGTATATTAAAAAATTTTTTTATGAAAAATTTATTTGAAATAGCTTTAAAATTAAGTAATTTTTTAAATTTTAATATCAAGAAAAAATTTAATAAGAATATGATATATCTACAATAATATTTTTTGAATAATTATTCAAATTAAATTTTTATTTGAAGATTTTATTAAAAGTTTTTAATAAATGTTTTTTTACATAAAATTCTATAACATTATAAAAATTATTAATAAAAAACAAAAAAAACAATCTTTTAATATGACGAACGAAAGAAAATTACTCGAATTTATATAAAACTAAATTAAATATATATTAAAATATATAAATGTGATTTGATTTGGTTTTTACAAAATCAATCTCAAATCTAATTTGATCCAAAAAGTTTTCACAAAATAAAATTTAATAATATTATATTTTTTTATGGTTTTTAATTTTTTATGATCCGTTTACAATATTTATTTGAATTTAATTAAACATTTATAGTGTAAATTGAATTAGATAAATGTAATATGTTAAATATATTTTTGGTATCATTTTCTTGTTCACTTTTAATATTTTAAAATTTAAAACATATAATATCAATATCTTTAATTAAAAAAGATAAAATCTTAAATTTGAAAGAAAAAAAAAAAAACCCCTTTAAATACAAATATTTCTAAATTTATCATTACCATAATTTAATGTGAGCGTGTGAAAGGAGACTACCCTTGCATTATAGTATAGTGTAGTATATATATAAAAGCAACACACCTGTCCATGGTGGGCCTAATCTCCCGACGAAAAACTCGCAAGTGAGTGTATATACAAAGAAAAATGAAATCGAAGGGAAAAGAACTCGGTAAAGAAATGGAGAGTGAGAATCCCAATTCCGACGCTAACGCCGCCGCACTCATCAACCCTTCATCGAAATCACTTCCTCCACTCAACAAGAAGCACTTTTCTTCCTCGAGAGTCACAATTTCGACCTAGACGCCGCGTTTCGACGTTTTGGACAACAACAATGCTTCCATTCCGAATACTCCCTATAAACGACAACACCGTCTCGCCTAATGAATCTCTTTCGCCTGATTTTCAACCTTCTGAATCTCCGTCGCGGTCTCAGTCACCGCCTCCGTCTCGCCTGCTCGATCTAGACGGTCTCTTGGGAAGAAAGCGTCGGGGAGTCGGCAGAGTGGGATTCGGACTCTGAGAGATGTCAAAGATGATCGAGATTCGGGGTCTGGTTCTGAATCGGATGAGCCGCAGGAGTATTATGCTGGTGGTCAGAAGAGGTAACGACGACTCTTTCCTTTTTTAAGGATAGAGCATTGCATAATCGGATTTCGTAATTGCGAAACTAGGGGTTTTGGTTTTGTGAAATCGTGTTTATGTTTGTGTCTTTGACCTTTTTTGCGTGTTTTATCTAAATCTTAGGGTGTGTTTGGGGAGGGTTTGTTTTTGTTTTCTATATTTAGTGAGCTATAAACTGTTTCTAAAATTGAATGAGTTAGTGATAATTTTTTGTGATCATATAAAAATATAGACCTAATCCTCTAAAATCTTCATCCCAAACAAACCCTAATATCTTCCTCCTAAATGTAGTGTGTGTTTGGATTGATTGTGGACAGAATTGATTTTTGACATAATTGATATTAACATGATTTGATTTATGTTTGGATATGTAAAAGTTAGTTGAAAAAAAATTTATGTGTAAAAATCTCAAGAGTTACAACTTCAATTTTGACGGCAAAATAATTATACTTTAGAAGAACCAAACACTTCAAAATCACTCCAGAATCAATTCTACACCTCTAGAATTGCGTTTGGCTCTTCCAAAAGACAAACCAAACATGCTAGTAAAATATAGGTAGATTAGTTTGGTTAAACTTTTTTAATCATATTGGATTTATCAAACAAATATTGAAATATAAGTTTAAATTAGTTTGTGTATTTTAGTTAGTATAAGCTCTTTTATTTAACATGGTTAGTGAGGCATTGTAAAAAATTATTTTAATTGTAAGTTTCAATGAGTTAGAAGTTCAATCCTAGAGCTGAGTTTCATTTGACTTAATTGACATCTTTCAACGAGTTAGAAGCTCATCATATAGCTTAGTTTCATTTGACTTAATTGACATGTTTCAACGAGTTAGAAGCTCATCATATAGCTTATTTTCATTTGATATAATTGACAAGTTTCAATGAGTTAGAAGCTCATCATAGAGCTTAGTTTCATTTGATATAATTGACAAGTTGTGATAAGCTAGAAAGCAGTTTTAATGTACCTTTGTTTTAATTGTTGCAGTGGTATGCTTGTCCAAGATCCTACTAGAGGTGGCCATACTGTGGATGATATTTTTGATCAGGCTAGACAAGTAAGCTGTTGATGCTCCTACTGAAAATTCTTCAAGGTCAAGAAGTTTTACCGGAACAGCCAGATTGCTTTCCGGAGAGGAGGTGCCATCTGTTCCTCAGCCAGTAGAATCAATTACACATGTGGTCACTTTTTGAGGAATGGGTTTTCTGTCGATGATGGGTCCTTTGAGGAGGTTGGAAGACCCGCAAAATGCATCATTCCTTGAGGTATCTTGACTCTTATTATCAACTTTGTTGGTAAAATTTTTTATCCAAATTTTGTTAATTTTAACATTTGTCTCGACATCTTCTAAATTTACTGAAAACTATTGTTTGGTCTCATCATTTGCAACTTGTGGATGTTATTGTTGCCAACTTCTAATAGGATATTGGGTTTAGGTATGATTCCGACAACTAGGCTGAATAGAGAAGTTAGAGAATAATTTCTGAGATGGCCAGTTAGTTAACATAGCTATAAGAGAGTGGAGGAGGAGGGCAAGTGTGAGGGGTATTTTTTTTTTTTCAGAAGCCTTGAGCAGTTGGGGAGAGAGAATACTCTCTTCACGTAGGAGCTGTGTTGTGGGATTAAAGGGGTTCTCTTTTGCATTTTTTTTTCTGAGTCGATAATCCAATTTCTATTTCTCTTGAATCGGGATTCTACCAATTGGTCGAACCTATTAGATACTCAAAGAAGAGATAGGGTTTTTGGAGATTGGGAAGCTACACATGGTAGCAGTCAGTTTGTGGGTATACATCTGGACATAATAGGCCAAGACCTAGCCCAATGAATTTGATATCTCATTATTTCTGCACCCAACCCCTGTTTTGAGGGCACAAAAAAGAGTGCACCAAACCAAAAGAATGTGGCTAAGTAAGCTTTACTTGCTAACTTAGCAAATGTGGTGCTCAAATTGGACAATCTTGTGAACACGCTATCAGCTGTAAAATCTCTCTTAGAACCTCCAATTTAGCTCCTTCATTGTGTAATTTCTAATTTCAGTCTTGAAAACAAGGTTGTTCTTTGAGTGGAAGTTAATGACGGGATCCTGGTTTTGGGTCTAAGCCCGCCCAAGAATGGTCTTGAGAATTGCTGATGTCACCAATTGGTTAGGAGAGAAGCTATAGGAAAAGAAGAACCCAAATAAGGGATCATTAGCTATCTTTTTTGTTGGAGCCTTAGATTAGATAGGGAGGGAGAATCATCTCTTCTATGACGAGCTTTGGTATTGGGATTCTATCATTTTCTTGTTAGAAGTATTATATGCTTCTCATTAGTTTTATTTTTACCTCAATGCAGAGCATAAAGAAGTCTGAATGTCCCAAAGAGCTTGAACCAGCTGATCGGCAAACTGCTGTCCGTCTCAACCTCACAAGGCGTAATGAAAACTACCCGGTATGTCTCTTGTTTTCTGTCATCAGCTTTGTGTTTGTGTTCTATTTCTATATTTCTTCTTTACTTATCAATATTCTTTTTGGCAACATATATCTAGGAACCGGTGAAGCCAAGGAATACTGCTTTCGGGGGGTTGGGAGAACTTTAGGTGACAGCAGCTCAAGTGGTGAAGCTGCTAGTGAGCCTATTCAAACTGCTGGTAAGTGCTTCCTCATTTACTGTTCCGGTGCCAACAATGGGTCTAGTTGTAGATGAGTCCCAACCAGTGACATCAATCTCAGCTAAGGTTAGCT